AGCGGGTTTGAAGAACTCTTTCTCGCACATCGTCGCTTATCCAATCAAAGTCTCGGATGAAATAGCATTAAGCGGAACTTCAGCAATTCAGGCCTCCGGGAGCTAGGACCGCCCGGGTTTTTATTCCTACCTATTCACGCCATCTCCTCTGTAGCATCCATTGGATTCGAACGTAACGGGCTCAGAGAATTCGGGTGAGGCATCTAAGGAGATCTCGCTAGATTTGGAAGCAGGGATGGAAGGGACCGCGGAGGCCCCGAGCGATTGCGCTTGTCGCGGAATGCTCCACGACCGAGGATTCGATCGGTCCTCCGCAACCCACCTGACAACCGTTCCCGATTTAGGTCTTTCTTCCGGTAGAGAAACGATTTCTCTAAAAATGAGACGATACCCCGAGATGAGAAAGTGGGTCAACGATGGATCGGATCCTTCCTCTTTACTGACTTTGATGGAGTATCCCACATCAGGAAACGTCGACCTATTCCGTGAGGACTCAACCCAGAAGCATGGAAAGCCTCTTCTACGTGCTCCGTACGGGCCTTGCTCGGTCGTCATAAACACCGACCATACTGGCGGTCGTGAGATCCGGGGAGTCGGTCGCGTCCTCTGGTCCGAAGGATAATGAAAAATCTCATAAGTCATAAGCCTCGGCGAACGATCATAAGCCTCTCACTGTGGACAGGATAGGAACAACTTCAGTGGTTCACATCAACGCGAGAATAGTTCACTTCATTCCTAATGAATAATCGATGCTTGTGAGGTCTCCGAATCTCTGCGGGTCGGTCCCCGTAAGCTTGGTGCTGGGAAAATTCTGAAGTGAAATCGTTGAAGATAGAAGGCGTCGGCATATATTCCCCTGGTCATAACGGTCCAATTTTCTGAACGCCTCGGGGTTGGTGGCCCCGTGGCCGGCCAACATTGTGTCACCGATGACCTCCCGTCGCCAAACTCGCTTCCCCATTCGAAAGTCAGGGGAATTCATTCGCCAGGGGAATTGGCCACGGAAATCGCAACTCCTCGATCGAGAAGTCGCCTCCAGCAGATCGTGCGATCTCGATACCAATGCCCGCGGACAGATGAGCTCGCAGCACTTCCATGCCGAAAGAACGACGATTGACCTCCTTATCCGGGGGGTATTCCGCCACGAAGTTCATAGACCCCATTCAGCGACTTATCGACCGGAGTCAGTCCCTTGAATAGAAAGTAGAACAAAGGAAAACGTGGCTCGAGTGCTGAAATATTTCTAACGACCGAATCGATCGTTTCTTTTCGCCGGGCCTCCGGCGTGCCGGGACATTTCCGGGATTTTCTGGGACATTCGCGGAGCTACCAATACGATGGCGTCATCCCTCCGTCTCGAGCCGATGGGAATACGATGATGCCGTTTCCATTCGCGTAAATGGGTCACCTCAAGTCGCTCCGAGGAGAGTCCTCATGAGTTTGTCCCACCGGCGCACATCTCGAATGTTCAGCAACTCGATACGTCGAACGTTTATCCAGGGCCGCGAAGTCGGAGTTCCAATCGGATACCGTCGGAAATCTCGTGCGTCGAGTGAGTCATACGCGCATTATGTATTCCTTTGCGATCCATTCATTCCGTCATCCATTCATTGACGAGGGAGCTACTCCTCGTACAAAGAGAATGCTCGAGTTGATGTTTTGCTTGCCTGCATGGACGCTCGTCGTTGTTGCTATGCTCGTCTATCTGACGTCAGACTCCTACAGAGAGAAAAGAGGTGCTAGCGTACGCCATTGGGATCCCTCGATAAGGGTGCGCGACACGGAAAGTGGTCGAAAGCAGAGAAGCCAACTTCACCACCGACATCGTCACCACCTCGACCGCTACCGGCTGGGCCATCACCAAATGATTCGCATTATTGCGACGGCTAGAACCTTAGTTCCCGCGGGAGCAGCGGGGACAACAGCGAGGATGCAGCTCACGCTGAGAGCTTGGACGTCCCACCGAGAGTTGTCGATTGAGGCACTCACGACAACCTCCCAACATGATTCGAAACCCATCAGGTCGGTTCTCGCTCAATTCCTCGCTAAAAAACATGGACTCGGAAGCTCCCGAGCTCTCTTCATAGCTCAGCCCGAATGCAACGGGATCGGGTTCGCTAGGAGCTGACCCTACAAAATGCCTGCCAGGAAATATTTTTTCCCCTAAAAATAATATGGACGGAGAAAACGTTCCAGGTTCCAGCTGTGTCGCGCACTGCATGAATGACCCAGCTCGGTGGTTCGTTTTGTTCTCCTCTCTGTGTCTCTCTCCGGCAGAGTATTCAGGATTGCAGTACAGAAAGTCAGGAAGCGTCCGCACTCACCATCCGCATCATGAGGAAGTCGCTCATTCAAAGTTCCTGCCAAAGCAACTTTTCGCAATCGAGGTTGTGACCCGACTGCCGAATCGTCCCGGGCATCGTTACTTCTCCCGAGTAAGATATTTCCTGTGACGCTCTTGCCGAGGGCAAGCTCCAGTGAAATGATGCCCCGAAAACTATGATCGCATACGAGGCAGACGGACACTAGGTCAGTGCGCGTGCATTCTCGGAAGACACGACATCTTGCTGATATTTGTGCCGAATTCCGTCGCGTCGTCTCGAGTTGGCTGATCGCTAGAGGCAGGAATCGCAGCATCGGGGGAATTCATGGCTGACCATCGTCTTCATCGTTCTGCTCGTCATTGGGCAAATCCTCATACGGAGCGCAGCGCAGGTGAAACGTAAAATACGGTCGTAGGCTCTTGTTATCTCAGATGCTCCCGAAGTATAGCCATTCATTAGAAGGCTGGGAAAGAGGTTGTTGACCAAGCTCTAGAAAATTACAGCCTCTGTTTTAACTTGTAGATTCAGAGAGTTCGACCCCGAAAGACATTGAGTTCATGCAACTCTGGTCTGACAGCAGGAAACTGTTTTGCGGTAGTTGAGCCGAGGACAGGATAGCACGTGTTGGCATCTATTGGAGAAGCCAAAAGAGCGAGGAACAGCCGAATCGATGACGAAATTGAACGAGTGCGAATAGAAAACCCCGAGCACGGCTTCGGCAGCAGGTCGGCCATGAATTGTCGTCACATGAGTGACGTCGTCGCCGGCGATAGTCCGCGAGGGATTCGAGTCCCTCGGAGAGCTTCCGGAAAAGTTGATCTTTCGATAATTAAATGTGCAACATATCGGAGCGCCGACGCTGCCCGTCTCCGACGGCAGCTTCCGTCATGCCTGAGTTCGGTTCCGCAGCGGCTGTAATGAGACTTTGGTTAGTCGAAGGATCAGACCGAGGGAGGGGAGCCCAAGACGTCTTTCTTTCGAGAGGTAGAGGAAGCACGGAACGGAAAAATGATAGATGGGCCGCAAAGCCGCGGAGGGCTAAAACCACGGCAGAACGACGCCTTTATGGACCTCCATTCTTTTGCCTGTCAAAGGTCAGGCATGGAGCTCCACTTCTACCATTAGACCCGGAAGTATTCCGCTTTTCATATTTAAACATCGAGCAATGGAAATCCCGACAATTAATCAACGTTGAGTTTCCGACGTCGTTTACACAATTCCATATGAGCCGGAGGGCAGAGGAGTCACGGTTATATTGTCTCCGTCTACTTCTCGGTAGCAGAAGAATGCCGGCAACCTCCGGAATCAGGAAAAAACGCTGCCCATCAGCAACAAGAGTGGTCGTCGTTGAGAGGAGCTGCATGTCACGTGGCCCTTTCAGCTGTCAGGACACGCGCGAGAGAGCAATGCTGGGATATGTCACCGCCTTTTCGGACGACACCAGAACCGGGGAAGCCTTGTTGCTTCGTGACAGCTTTGTCTGGCGGCACTCCACGATTGCGAGCGACAGTCAGATGGAAATTGCAATTCCGCACTCATTCTTCCATAGAACACACAGAGTTGAAGTACGCCTGAAGTAGTCCCTGCTAAGGTTCCGAATGAGGTCGGGACAAAGATCGCAGGATCCTGAACGTTTCCTTGTTGACAGGACCACTTCAGAAAGCACTCGAAACTCCCGTTAAAAGTTTCCAATAAGAGCGCTCATTACCTCTCACTGATAAGAGCAGCCGTCAATCCTAAGGTCGAGCAGGCGTATATAGGACAATCACTTGGAGCCTTCCGGTCGCCCCGAGGGGCAGGGAGACTACCGAGCCGAGATAGCTCTCTGGTTCTCGATCCCGCCTCAAGTTCCTGCTCCCTCGGCTTAGTCGTCGATTGAGCCCCTAGAACATCGATGCCGCCTTATTCTCAATTTCGTTCATTCTGGAACTCCCCCCTATTTCCGTCAGTCTTGTTTCCCTCAGCTCTTCTATACATCTCTACGTTCGGCTTCTGCTTGCGGAGGTGTGCGTAGAGAAGAGTCGTCTCAAAAAGGACCAATAAGAGATCGTCTTCTTAAACCTGTTTCCGCTCTCCAGAGCCGATTCGACTGAAACTGAGTCCGATTTCGTCGTATCTTTATTCGGGAAACGTTTCCCCCAGGCCTCGCCAATGCGCAGTCGAGCTCGATATCGAGGTGAATTAGAATTTTCCCATGCGCCTGAGCGATCACGACAGGGGCTCGGCGGAGCTCTCATGATCTAAGGAATGATTAGCCCCTGTGTCCTTGAGTCCAATCGTTCGAATTTGTTCGTTCTCCACAAAACCGGGAGAATCTCGTGATTTAGAACGTGATTTGCTGGGCTCGAAGTATAAATGGGATTCCCGCGTGTAACGATAATTTCGTGTATCTTCTCGTGTTCGGAGGATTGGACTGGGGCATACATATATTGCGAGCTTTGTGGGGTGCCCTTCATGAAGTTTACGTTTCCCACGACTTAACTCTCTGTTATTTTTAGAACCTTCTTCTGACCCGGATATCTCACCCTGCTCGGCTACACCGTTTAATAAACTTGAAAGTTCCGAAGAGGTGAACGACGTAAGTTCTTCTCGAGGATTTAGGCGTCGCACTTCCCCAAGGGCCCCGGAGACGACCATGCTGCTATCATGTGCTGGAATAAACTCCGCCTTCTGAGACATCGCGCAGTCGCGAAACATTTATTCTAAATACGTCCTTGACGATGTATCCAGACGTTTTCTGTGCCCCGCGTCGGTTCTGCTGATAACTCTGGTGAGATACAGCTTGCTGCGAGTCCCTGATCACGGAGAATCGCCCTCAGCCCAGGACGGAAAAGTGCTCAGGTCGAAAATCCAATCACCCAGAGTGTAAATGGCAGCGATTTCCACGAACACACAGACGAAGTTCATGGTGAGGCCACGTCGGAACTAAAGGAGCGGTATAGAAATACATTAGGTCGGATAGTTTCCGCAAACCGATAGCCGAATCGAGTGTCTGCGGCAACGATAACCCGCAAATACGTACCATGTAAGTAATGGGCATGTCGGAATGCTCGTGGACCATAGCGTTGGGCGGTGTAGCCACAGGCAGCATGAATGCAAATGACGACGCAACTGTTATGGGCATCATCAACTTCAACGGATGGATCCGGAGCGCAGTAGCCTGGACTCACAGGTGGAAAAAGGAACTCATGGAAGATCGTACGACCAAGCGAACGACCGACCCGCCGACGTCACAAATCGCCTCGTTCAATGGACCATGTACTGAGTAACCGGGCCATAATAGCTCGCGACCGATATCAATGCAATATTCGGATACAACAGCTGTCATACAATCCGTCCTAATTTAGTGACCACTCACCAGATACGATGCCACCGGTAGTAGAACGCTGGCCGTCGCGGTATTGGAGCAGAGTTCCGTGATGAAAGCAGTCCCAATGGTTAATATCACAACCAGCAGAAAAGGATGGACGCCACTCAGCTGGGCTATACTTTCGCCGATTAATCGAGAGAGGCCGGATTTCTGAAGATGATCTCTTATTAGCTCGTCGATAAGCGGTGAGTATCCAGCCCCGTCTCTGCTTCACTTCAATACGTACGTCGGTGGCCAAGGCAATGGAGAAACTTCCGCCCATGAGAATCAGAACTCCCCACGGCACATAAGTCTGGGCGTACTTCCATTCAATCAAGGTCGGACCCCCGAAATTATTGATCGGCTCCGCCGGTATGAAGAACATGAGAACGACGATACCGATCGCCGGTGTGGCGTCTTTGATGAGACTGCGATTGGTAGAGGAATTAATTTTTGAAGGACGATTCGTCTCTCGTCGGATCGGGTCACGGATGGATTTCTGCGAAATGACTGTGAATTTGAAATTGCATCCTGGCCCACCTTGCATGAGGAAAAAGATCGGACCACCCGGGCATGAAGCGGGGCTCTCGGAAGAACCAGAGAGCAATGAGAATTGTGAACAGTGTCAGGACGGCGGCTTCGTGGAAGCTCATGGCGCCCAGGTCACGGTGTCTCTGGTGAATCGTTTGGCGAATGGATAACTCGTTTTCTTCATCCATCGCTATTTTGAACCTGCGGCGCGAGAACTGACGAATTTAGAATCGATCTCGTTCCGGCTAGAATGCCTCAAAAGCTATTTGTTCGCAGCGCGTTCGCTCCTTTCCTTTAACAAGCTTATCACGAAGCACTCAAGCTAAGAGTGCTTTGCTTTATGAGCGCGTGCGGATGTTCGTTCCTCGTTGTTTCCTCCCGGTAATAGAACGTCCACTTTACCTCTTAGGTATGCAAACAATGTACAAATACACCCAGGCCAAGAGAACGCAGAAAATCATCACTGGAACATTGTACAGCATATAGGTAGCGAAAGTGAGCACTTTGGCTTGCGGGAAATTCCTAGAAATCAAGAGGTTGCGTGAGCAGCCGGCTGCTTTTCTGCGCGGCTTCCGGCTAGGGATCACTCATTTAGTGAGCGCGAAACTTCACCGTGAGCAGTGATTTGGGTGTATCAAGGTTGAACTCACTCTTCCATGATTCCGTACAGAATGAGGTTCGGTGCCGAGCCGATCAAGGAGCCCGTGCCCCCGAGGTTGGCCGCGTACGCAACTCCTAGAAGCATTCCGTGATGCAGTTGGCGACGGTTTTTTTCCCTGACATTTCATTGTTCGATCAAAACTCGCGGAGCGCCAAACAGAGCGGTTTACTTTCCACGTCGGCGTCGGTGGTGAACGTTAGTCCTCGCACCGTAGGAAATTTTTTGCAGAATACATTTGAAAGACCGGGGGTGGGAATAGGAGCGAAGTCAAAATTTTCCAGGATCAACCTTCGCATAATGAGTGGTCTGTCGTGCAGATAGCATTTGACCTCATTCCGGTCACACTTTCATTTGTATGCGCGGCTTGCAAATCGTACGCATCCTTGTTTTGGGCTTGTCGCCGATTCAATCCATCCGAATTGAATTAACATAAGAGCAATCTCACCAGATGTAGTCGGGTCTGTTGAGACCAAACGTTCTCGAGGTTTCGTCCCTTTTGGTCCTGAGTGGAGTGCGGACAGTTCCTGAAATTGTTTCGTTGAATTTATTCGTTGCTCGTTCCCAGGACAGAGTCTGTGCTGTGGATATCTTCTCGAGTCCATCCGAGGAGATAGTGATTGATCAAGACCCTGAGCAACGCAACTTCTGACGATGGCCCATCGAGCGATCTCGGAATTCAGGTACGACATTAGGAGCGCATGGAATTGACCGGAACAATCCGAAGGCGGTGAATAAACAGCTGCCTAATGCGCTACTTTCCGAGGGCGGGTCGGGGGCCGAAACCGCTTGGGCAATTTGGTTCTTTGAAAGAGCGCTTGTTAGAGCAATAGTGAGGTTCCACTTAACACGGCCCGAAAGTTCCGGATAAAGCTCCTGCGCACCAACTAGGCAAATTAGATGCGCTTCATCTGGGCCCCCGGAGACGGAGTCGGAGATTAGATGGAATTAGTGAAAGCTGCAAAGTCATCCGTCCGGAAGCGCGAACGAGCGAATCTGCTCCGTAAGCAACCTTGGTGGGATTGCTCAAAAGCAAGGCCGAGCACAATCATGAATCCAGGCCACATACCGTATTCATTGTCGTCTGTTTTCTGACTGATCTCCTCGACGACTGAGTCCACAATCGGCAACAGCATCAGGGTTGTAGCCATATTAGACACCCACATCGAGATGAACATGGACGTGACCATGAAGCCCAACAGCAGCCTGAAACATAGCTGCATAAGCGAGCTCAGTGAACTATTTCCCGGTCCGGCCGTCGAGAGAAGGCAACACGAAACCTGGCTCAACAAGAAGCCACCGACAAAGACCTATGAACGTTGCAGGTAGGACGTGCTCAATGCGAGCGGCTACGCAACAAATTCAGACTTCGAAGTCTGCTCTAATCTCCCCAAGCCGCATGAAGTTCGCACTCGCGAAGGCCGGACACGAATTCCCGCAGCGAGATGTTCTCAAAGCTCTCGTTGGCGCTCCGTCAGCGGAAAGGTCACCGCTCAACCCTCATAGTGCTTGACGCCGCCGCCATCTATCTCTGAGCCATCGCTGGCCGCGAGTATAATTGCATATAATGATCGGAGCGGTGTCGTCGAGATGAGTTGATGATGTGTTGAGCTCTTCAGCAGTACGCTGCTTCGGATATGGTTTTAGCGGTTAGAGAGGGAAAACCCAGACTGTAGCAACATTATTAAACCGCCAGGATCCAAGGCATCCGTGCTAACGTCTATTGGAGGAGAGATACGGATCGTCGGTGTTCTCGACACCAAGAGTGGCGGGAGCTCCTCGAAGCTCGTGATTCAAGTCATTCCCGCACTTTGAATCCTGAGCCGAGGGTCCGACGGGCTACCTCGGCAGGATAAAAACTAGGTTCGGCAGAATTTCGGATTCTGCGCATCAATTTTCTCGTAAACGTCAAAGTTCTCTCTCCGATGGTATTTTATAGATTTGGTAACAATTCCGACGATGTATCAGGGGATATTCCGAGGAATATTCGAAATACTCCCAAACACCAGCCGGGAATCGCACCAGGCTAACCCTAGAATCGCCCTGTCACCGCTCGGGGATCTCCGCCGGGGGAGTATCTCGAGGAGATGCCTGCGGTCTATCGCTAGCCCCGAGGGGTCCTAAGCCGCCGAGAGGCTCCTTCATGGCATTCCAGCACTCGATTTGCCCCCGCGGAGGATACGAGCGGCCCTGCGACCAGGGGCATATCTTCCACCGGGGCCGGCGCCCGCTCGTTTGTCTCCTCGTAAGCTATCACCGCCAGGAGTTAAATGATAAGGCTAAGTGCTGGATCCTGCTATCCTACCTCCTCGTGGTCAGATATTCTGGATCGACCTTCCTCTAATCCCGGATTCTCGCGGAATTCTCGGGGAGCTTCTCCGCGGCCTCAGAAACTAATGAGGTAATGAATCCTCGGAGAAAAACGAATACGATCCTCCGTTTTTCCGCATTCCTCCGCAAGTACGATTCTCGATTCCATGAATTGTCTCGATACGCTGAAACACGACGCTTCTTGAGATCCACTAACCAATGCATCTTGGCGCCGACGATCATCAGTATCCTTAGCGCGATCCGGTCGTGTAGATTACATTTCTCCACCGCGGCGGCCATGATCATACCCGCGAGATACAGCATGATAGTGTCCTGAAAAAACGAGGGTTGGGACTAAGCAAGCTTTACTCGGTCCGGAAGCTTCTGTATTGTCTCCTCCGGAGGTCCTTGTGACGGATTTTGTGCTCAGCGGCGTCCCGCGTGAGAAAGGGGAAATCCCTGTGCCGGGAGAGTATCGACAAAGAATGTACGAGATATTAGCATACCTTCATGTAGGGCATCGAAGCCTGTGAAGTGGAAATGACCCCGAGCAACGGAAAGAGACACACGGGTATCAGTGACGTCACCGGCAGAGGAAGAATTTCCAACATCCAATACAGAGCCATTAGAAGGATTGCGTACGCACACCGTGCTTCCTGGAAGCCACGTTTTTATTCAAGAAAAGAAACATTCGATTTATTACACCGTGTGAGATCCTGCCGCAACAGGAAGGGCTCCTCCGGGGATCTCTCGGAATAGGTTTGATGAAAACAGCTCGAACGAGAGAGTCGCTCGATCGGAACGCTTCAGTGGGGAACCCCCTGCTCACCTTCGAGTCTGAGAACATCAGAGGGCTAAGAGCCATCGGGATCACCAAGCCAATTGTCCATTTCAGATGTTTTCTGTAGCGTCGGATAGACTTGAGCCTGGATGATGAACGAATTCGTGCATGAATGTCTCGGTCTTACATTCATCAATCCCGGGCGGGGGACCGTGAAGGGACCTTGCAGCGACCGATGTCCGAGTCCATCATCCAATGAATAGTTGTAGTACATATAACCTCATCGAAACGACCGCGAGGTGCCAACAACAACGGTGAGTTCAAACGCATGCTCATTGGAGCGAACTTGTTCTACCGTACGGTCTACGAGAAATTGACCAAAACATCAGGAAGAAGTCGTAAGTTATAGCGGAAATTCGTTCTGACGCGACTCGCGTAGGAGAGAACCTGTCCTCCGACTGTGAAATTGGAACAAGTACAATCATGAGTCATGAGACTTCTTGTGGGAACGTTTCGCCTTGCCGATACCGTATGTCATCGACGACATACGTCGAGCCTGACAGAGGGTCTCCGTCCCTGAGCAGGCGGACACAGTGCCAGCAGTCGTTCTGTGTTTTGGTTTCCCACGTTCTCCCGCGAGTTTCCCCAAAAGACATCGGGTTTTTCTTCAAGGGAAGCCACCACACGAAGGATCCGCGGGGATGAAAACAACCATGCTCGACAGCGTAAGAGGAAACTCCTCAAAGTTCGGAAAACTTTCATTCCTTGTTCGCTCACGTTTTTTTCTCTCCTTGGACAGAGCAGCGCGACGAACAGAATAAAAACTTCAACGAAAACTACTCCAAAGTTGTTCAGAAAAACACTCCAGCGATTGGATCGCTGTGCACTGCAACCCGAGTCCACAGCGATGTTTTTACGAATAAAATATCGTACAACGGCTCTCGAAGGATATTCAGGCATGGCGTGCGAGCGACAACAACGGTCTCTCCAGGAGACTTTCGCTCTTCCGACGACTTCGAGCGTACCTACGCAGCGGTCGCGACTAGAACCGGCAAATCTCGGGGGATCTTCTAGGGGTGGGGTCTGCTGTGCGGGCCCACGGCGAAGGTCTTTACTACTACTCATGAATGGAGATTCCCGATCTCCGACGGACTCATAATCAGGATCAATATCCTATGAATGGGAGCTCCGACTTGACAGCCGGACGTCAGACGGGTATTGATGAATTGTGACACAAGACACAAAGCCGGCCGTATCGACTCACAACTTTATCTACCAGAGCGTCAGCCGCCATTGACAGTGAAGCTCCTGGACTCGAAGAACCCTCCGGATCCTGCATCCGGGCAACCGGAACATACGAAACGGAACGGCGCTCGACGTCTATCTTTGCGAAAAACATTCTCACCGTTTTTGTACCATCATCTCAAAGGATGCTTCTGCTATGGGCTCCAGAGGCTCATATTCGGAGAGTCTTCTCTTTAGTTGCTGCCCTCGCATGTTGGAGTTTCTCAGCCAGTCACCGACGAGCCATCCAGGCAAGCGAACAAGCACCGGCGGCCAGTCTGCCAGCTGTTCCGGGAGAAGTCGTTCCGCACTGCACCCGAATGCTTGCTATCGAGATACACCAACGGCCGGCCGAGGAAGCAAAAGGTCTCGTTTCCGCGACAAACTCGTGTTGACGGACGAGCGCTCTCTTATGCTGACTGAGAACGAGATCTCGGTAGTTAGCTCCGACCGAATCGAGGGACGAGTTCCCGTCGGCGCGATCGCTGTCACGGAGCGTCTCTGTTCATCTAGACGCAACGCATCGGAAAACGCAAGACCGTCTAGAAAGCAATCGTTTTTCAAGCACTGCTACGGCCAGCGACCACGACTGATTGTCACAAATCGAGCTCTCATAGGAAAAGTGTTGGCTTTGTGATCGAACTGTCATTGTGTGTTTGATCCCAGCAGCCTCTACCTAGTTACTCGACACCAGACACTTATCACTTGGAGAGCTCGATTCGGGCAGATGATATCGATGCGCGGCTCGAGAATTCTCGTTGACCACTGTAGAAGGATCTTCTCCCGGTCAACTAGGTAAAGCAGGCGATCCCTTCAAATTTCCTATTCACGAAGCGGAATGAAGCTCATACCACAGAGGAAGTCGAGACCCTCTCGCAGTATGCAATAATCATCAGGGAGATAATTTCAAGCATCGAATTGCTCATTGTGTATCGCTGCTGTGAGCGATGCAGATCGTGATCAACTACGTGAGACATCGGAAGCCTGAGACGTGCCTCGATGGTCGTCTTGCAGACTGCTTCGACGATGGTCGACGTCGCGAGATTGATACGAGCGCCATTCGGGTCCTTTACTACGCTACTGTCCCTCGCGTGAACGACGCCAACGGAAGGCTACATTTATCTCGACTAAGTCTCCGCAGTGTTCTAGGAATGCATCAACACCAAACGATAAATATGGAAGAGAATTGGTCCAATTTCGAGAGGTGCAAAGTTTCAGATTTTCGGATCTAAAAACTTTTCCGGGCTGAACCACACAGCCAAGGTTCAAAGTCCCGGGTACTTGTAAATCACATTGCTTCCGAGGACGGATCCATAGAGCAAACTTACCCAGGAGGATCAAGGCCGAGTACCTGCGTTTCCTTAAGGAATATTTTTCCGGCAGCAGGGATCGATCCCACACCGCCTCCCGCGCGAGCGGCGTCGTAGCGGCTCTGCACGATCATCGGACCTAGCCGTCACTCATCGTTCTTTGTGGGAGGGATGGAAAAGCGCAACTAATCTCCTATTTGGTCCGTTTACGGCTCATGCGAGCTGACTTCATCGCACTTGGTGCTCATGAGGAGCCTCTCCCGACGTCGCTCACTGTCTGATCAGTAGGTTAGTTAGAAGCTTAGGGCTGCAAAATATGGGAATGGGAGATTCCTCTGATGATGAGTGGTGAGACTTTTTCGAAGCTCGTCGGCATTCTGTGTGAGAGGTCAAGGAATCCCTCAAGGTTCGAATAGTTATTCGGCCTGAGGGAGACATACAGTCAAAAGCCCTGTCACGCAAAATTTGACGAACTGAGGATGAGCTGAGCCAAGAGAGCTCAGCTGCACACGAGGCTAACAGAGATCCGGTCTATCATTCCGGTTCATTCTGCTTCCCTCCGAGTCTCGATATTCTCTGCCATGGAGAGGTTGGGCTGTGGTACCCGATTGCGCATAAAAGCTTTGTGATTTCTCGATTTCCCGTGTATGAAGCCTGCAAATTATAAGTTATACGCGCTGATGACAAAGAATGAACCACGGTGATGAGTTTTGGAATGTGGCAATCTTTGTGAACAAACGGTATCGGTGGTTCCCCACATTCTCTGTACCGAATCCATGGTTCTCTGCCACTCATCGCTTTGTGATGTGAAACTCATGCACGGTCATCGATGGTGATAGAGGATCCGGATTTCTGGAAACATCTGACCCGACCATTCGCAACCATCGCGTCATAGCTGAGCGGTAGCTTCCGCAGGAATCCGTCTTCCCGAAGCGCCTTTATTCATATCCCTAACCCTCCAAGACGTTTTCGTATGAACAAGATCCATCGAAATAATTGAGGAAGTAAAGACCCGACCAGCAGATCCGTGGAGCCGTGACTTGTGGGGAGATGGGTGAGTTTGGGGGGTGAGCTTCCAGAACAGTTTTATTTTCAAACCAGTTTTTAAGTCTTGTATGACACTCAGATTCGATGCTGGAGCTGCTAAAGACCACAGACGCCTTTCACGTTGACTGCGTCGTCTAAAACCACGATCCAGTGGATGAAGGTGGGCATCATTCCCATAGATGCGCAATCTTCTCTGCATGATTGGGCTTGAGGGTAATAGAGAGCAGCAATTACCTGCTCTGCGTGTTTTTTGCAGAGATAACTCAGAGAAGCGCTATCTCCATTTCATAAACATCACTTGGATGATCTTGCGTTCGAAGCGTTCAAAGCATGTTTTTCTGGCGGACAGTCAAGTTCAATGATTCCATGTTTGAATCTCCAAGATTTCATCCGAACATCGATCGATGAATCGCCGCATTGCAATAGTCTCTTCTTCTGGTAACTCTGTCGATTAAGCTCATTGATCTCTGTCACAGGGCCTCGGAGTACGCTCGAGCATCGTACAGCTGATCAACGCGTTTGAATTGAGTGGCGGCCCCTCGATGATGGATATGCAAAAAATGGAAGCATTGATTCGCGCAACCTGCCCCGTCGAGTTCAAACGCACGCATGATTCTCCCCTTTGCGCGCTGTTTTCCTGTCGCGTAGATGGTCCACTAGAGCTTGTTGCTTTTCTGCGTCACGAGACCGTCGCGCTGTTCGTCGTCCCGCCTAATCCGTTGATACCCGCAAAGCCTATCAGCTGGATTCCGCCGAATCGTTTCCTTAAGTCTGTAGGGATTGATCTACTGCTATCCGGAACTCGGCCCACTGACCGAGAACGAACGAGTCGAGTCTTACGGCCTGCTTGTTGTTTCAGCTGCGACTCTGTCGAGGAGCTCATTTGCATGGAATAATAGGGAATGTATAATATAATAAGGTGCCGCACGTACGCACGCCAGAACGTTAGGGAGTTCTTGCTGTCTAACAGCTTTCGGTCACACCGTGAAAGCACTTCTATGTACAGCTTTCTCCGACTGAGGTCAACAGCCGAACGAACATCTTCCATCCATCAGGAAGCAGTCGATGCTGGATCTATTCATCAAGCGACCATCGGTGCGCGACACTTCGTCGGATAGGCCGCCCGCCCACCAGCGAGAATTGCTCGTTTGACGATTATGCTGCTCCCGGAAAGGTTTTTTTCGAGCGGTGTCGGATGTGCCCCTGGACAACATCAATCTGATGCTGTTGGCTCATGTGAATAGTGCTCTGTGTAACTTCACCGTCGCCTGGGAGAGTTCCGATCATAGGCTCCTGTCATCTGCATCAATCCTCCTGTTGACATTCATTTAATCAGTGCAACGGATTGTCGTTCTCCGTCGACGAACTCGATTCAGCCTCGCCATTCATACGGAGATCGAACGCAGTCCCTCCTCGGTAATCAGAGTCAGTAATAATTATCGGGTCAATCCCCTCGACCCGCGATGTAGGATTCCGGCATTCAAGGATCGTGCGCGCTCCGGAAATGACATGGGCGTCGACAGCGTGGCGCCTTGTTGCCATAGCGCGCGTTCCCTGCTGTGGTCAGCGATCTAATCGAGAGTAGAGCGTCAACTCTTGACTGCTGCCTCATGACGAATAAGCTCTTACGGCCCGAACGCCCAGGAGGAGCTCGAGGGGTGATGAACGGAATCGCCCTTCAGACAATCTGGAAGTCGCGACTCAAAATCGAACGAAGAGCTCTGCTCATCGGTTCGTGATATTGAGTTCCAAAGAGGATTATCGCCACTAGCGGATATATGAAACTTCCCCCGGGCTCATTTGTTCATCGCGTCACCGTGGAACGATTATGGGGTATTGAGCAACGGGTATTGAGCTGAGCAATGTGTCGCCCGTGTTTGACGGCGCTCACCCATGCGCGCCGCTCAGATTTCGGTAATACTTTCGAACAGCTTCGAGTGAGAGCTCCCGAGAATCGCTTGAGCATGCAATGCGAGATCACGTTAGGTCTTTGGCTGCGAAATCAAACGAGTTCAACCAGGTTCAGATCAAGCTGAGCCCTCGTTCACGCTCTTCTACAAATTAAAACGAGTTCCTGGATACCCGAACTCGGAGAAAATCTGGGGCGAGATCTTGGCTCCACATTGGGCTCTTGCGAGAGAGCTCCAAGCCGGAAAGCGGGAGCGGAAAAGAAGTCCAATCGTTGGACGAGTTCTTCCACAATGATTATGATGCGGAGTATAAGCCCGTCTCGCTCGAGGTCGCAATGGAAGTTCTCGAAGCTTTTCAGCAATGGCTCCGAACATGTTTGTACATCCAATCAGGGGAAGATTTCAATTTTTCGGCCGCCGGATCGCGATCAGCGACCTCTAGCACGATCCGACCTGACCGTGTTAAGGCTGATCTGCATGTGATTCACGGATCGCTCGAACTTAGGCCATTAGGCTATAAGTGGCTTCAGATTCAGCGCCTCACAACGCGCAGCGGAGCGCAAGTAGAGCCTGACAAGCTCACCCCTGTTCGAGCTCATCCGTGTGCGGAAGGCACTGAGAAATCGTTCCTGTACGCGTATGATCAGCCTGGATGTATGGATATTTCCAGTAAGCTTCTGCGACAAGCTTGATGGCTCTACATCCGCAGGGATACTGGCGATACCGACTTTCCTTTCTCCGCACCATTGGCGCATGAATTGCCGCCCTGCGCGAAGAAACTGGGAAACTGAACGTTCCGCACGGAGGCTAACGACCTGAGAACCCATGTTCTAAGGACTTCCTACGGAGCAATTTCGACTCTGCTACTCCGGGTTGCTGACCCTCTCTGGGGACGGCCTGTTTGCAGCGGAACAAGATTTCCTCCAATTCAATTTAAGCCATAACTTCGTCGCCCTCCCCCGCCATTTCGGAAGGAAAGCCCGAACCCCCCACTGGAGAGCCATTCTCGATCCTGCAGACAATGTCATTTATCAATACTTCCCGAGTCCCAGAAATCAAATCGACGATTTTGATGAAACAGAATAACTTTGGTGAACACATTCCTGTATGCGGAAGAAGAGCATTTCCCTCTTGATTTTGGAACCTTCGAGAATGTAATCTTCGTGGCTGTTTTCAGACAGCCCAATAAGAAATGCATTAGGGTTTTTGGAATTTGTACGACGCGCCCGTTCCATAGGAAAATTTCCCTCGTTCGGAGGGAATCGCGCCCATTCCCATCAATTCCTCTCGCTCTTGCGCTCTCGGTGTCTTCTTCGGGGGACTTCCTCCCCTCCGACGCAGG